TATCCTCTCAGGCGAGTTGTTGCCATACTTGAGATTCGTAAGGGGAGGGCGGGCAATCCTCGAGGGGCTTCCTGGTGGCTTGGTGAGAGTGCCGTGGTTACTGCGGAAGCCCATGGAGGATTCCGGCCGAGGGCTACCAGGCGGCTTGATGTGAGCGGACAAGGGTCTTGCCGCGGATGCGCCGTTCATGTTGTTGGCACTGCGCTTGTTTGTCGGGGCGGCAGCGACGGGTGTCTTTGCTCCCTGGCGGGTTGGTGGTCTCTGTGCTGCGCTGACACTATTCGCGCGGCTGTGGCCGGTTCTGGGCTTGGTTGCCGAAGCCATCTGTCCGGCGCCGGGTGTCTTTGATCGCGGTCCAGGGGCAGGACGATCCTCCGCCTCCAGAGCGTCGAGGTATCTCTCACCGTGAACAAGGAATGGACGGCCGTACTCGTCCTCGAAGCGCTCCAAGACTTGACGAAGCTCGGCAGCGACCTTGGGCAACTCCTTGGCAATACGCTTGCGCATCTTCTCCTCTCGGAGCAGCTTACCGGGATCGCGTCTCTCTCCCTTCTGTCCGCGCATCATGAGGCGTGAAGCGTCCTGGCTGGAGGCCGCAAGCTCGTCACGCTCGTTGGTAAGGCTCTTGTGCTTGTCGATGAGTGCGAGCGTGGGGGCGCGCTGCTCCTTGAGAACCTCAAGTCTCGCAATCTCACGCTCGTGGGCCTCGAGCAGGGCGTCGCTGTATACGTCGGAAAAGGCAGGTGTGAATTCGAGCATCTCATCCTCGGAAAGGTAGAGAGCGTCCCACAGCTCCTGCAGCTTGCAGCGGGCATCTTCGACAAAGAGGTGCAGGTTCTGGCGCTTGAGCTCGTTCAGACGTGCCAGCTCGTCCTCAAATTCGTTAATCTGGCGGACGCCGCAGCCGCGGTTGCTGTTCAGGAAGCTCTTCCTCTCGGCTTGGTCCACCTCCAGCTTCTCCCAAAGGGCCTCGACCGCCGCGCGCAGGTCCTTAAGCTTCTTCTCGCGGTTCTTCTTCTCGTCCGACAGCTTGTCGCGCTTCGCCTTGAGGCGGGCGATGTCCTCCTCGTGCAAACCCAGCTGCTCCGGCGCATCGCGGTAGTACTTGACGATGGCGGCGTCCGTCTGGGCCTGCGGGGTGCCGAGCTCGGCCCACAGAGAGATGATGTGCTCGCAGAGGGCCTTAACCGTTGCGACGCGGCGACTGTACTCTTCATAGACTCTCGTAAACTCGTTGTCGAGCTTGTCGACGTACGCAGGCGACAGGTCGAAGTTGGAGGGGACCGACTGGTTCGGGCCCGTTGGAGGCAGGGGGATCTGGACGAAGGTGGGTTCGAGGTGTGACGAGTATGATTCCAGGGCTTCGACAAGTTCTGGCGGTGTGGTCAGCGGGACTCCTTTTCGTGGCGCGTCGCGGCAGCTGCTGCCGGGCCAACTCACTCTTGACCTGCGCGAAGCGCTCCTTGTGCAACCTGCTAATCTGGACGTGCTTCTCCTTGAGAGACTTTAAGCAGCGGACCAGGGGGTATGTGATCTTGATGTCGTCGCCGTCGCGGTCGCGGCGGCCACTGATTGATGCCTCCATCTGGCGGATGTTGTTGATCATGTGCTCGGCTTCCTCGATCATCTCCTCCTTCTCGGTAGTAACAAGGCGGACCTGGTCGGTCAAGGCCTTGGAAAGGGCCTCGAAGAGCTGTGGCGATGGTTAGCACACGGATAGAAATCCACACGACCAGGCAAGAGCGTACGTCTGCTTCGCGCGCCTCGCGATCATGGTTGGGGACGCCAATTTCGTCAAACAGGCCGTGCAGCTGGCCGATAATGGTGTTGACCTGCTGGGACAGGTAACTGGTATCCATGGCGGATAAGTGGACGAAGACGCGCAACCAAGGAAAAGGGACAAGAAATGCCGATTGAAGTCGCCGGTAGTAAAATATCGATTAGGTAGGTTCGTGGGGTAAAAAGAGCGGGTGCAGCGCAAACGGCTGGTGGTGGTGGTTGTTGTTGATGATGCTATTCACGCCGCGGCGGGGAATCGTCGGGGATTTTTTTGGTGGGTGTTGGAGTTGGATTTGTTTACTTTCTCTCAAGGGCAAGCGAATGGTCACCGAGTGAGTTGCGACTCGGGGTGCATTGTCCGACCACAAGAAAAAATAAAAGTAAAACAAAGAATCCAAAAGAGCGGCGCTGGAGGGATGGCAATCTGCAGTCTCCGTGGTATCTGTGTTGAGTGTCGGGTCGGTTGTCAGAGACTGCGATTAGTTACCTGTCGTGATGCGGCGTTGGGAGGGGAGAGAGTGAAGGTGAGGGTGAGGAGGTGAAATGAAAGATCGAGAGAGCGATGTGAATGAACGGGAAGGTGGTCGGGAAACGTGATGGGCCAGATTTAGCGGGTGCGCCAGTTGCAGCTCTCGAGGTGGGCCGTCGCCAGGGGCAACAGCCAAACGCTGGGCAGCTTCTGTGAGGAGTGGGCGCTGCTGGTGGTGGGTTTCAGAAAGAGCTACCCCGCCATTGGCCGCCAATTGGTCCGTACGCCCTTAAAACCCCGGTGCTATTGCCGTCCAGTCTTTGTGGACTCAGGTTCCTTGTTGGTGAGCTGTTCTAGCGCCCTGTCGCTTGTCTGTCAGCGCGGGCCAGGGATCTTAGGTAAGACTCCTCCTCCCTCCCTCGCACCTCGTCAATTCGGTTACCTAGGACTCAGTGAACCCAGCCACTCGTCACTCTGCTTCACGCGAAATGAGATTCATGGTCTCCCCCATGGCCGCATCTTGGTTCAGCAATGGGGGTGTTGCATTCCAACATCTATCACTTCTTCATGCAGTTGATGCGGCTTTTGGGTGATTTTCTGCTCTACTCGATCGAGTGCAGACGATCGCAAACCCTATGCAAACACTCAGACAAACAAACCAACTCAGTCACCCGCAGTAGTCCAGAATAAAGCCCGAGGCAGAGCGGACCCGCGCATCGGTTTGTTTACATTGGCCCAACCTCGTTGACTGGGCCATCGGCGTCTCCTCGTCTACTTCAGCGCAATGGTCCAATGGCTGCGCCGCCTCGTCAAAAGCCCGTCTGCAAGTCATTCAGCCGGCCCACGAGACGAGTGGCTCGCATGGCAGGACAGGGCACGGCATGGCACACAGCATGGCATTCGCTGCAACAACACAGCCTTTCAGGATTCTCTCCTGCAGCTAGATGGAGTCCAAGGTTCTTTCTTTCCAGAGTCTCAGAGTCCCAATCAACTCAACCAACTCGATAAAAGACCGGGCCCCCAGAGCAGGAATCCGATCTGCCTCATCTCGGCTCTCTCCCATCCCATGTTTCCTCCCCCTGTCCCGCCCCGTTTCCAAGTGGGCGCGTGCTGCCCCAAAGTCCCAGCGGTGAGATGCAGCAGCGCCTCTCTTCACCGTGGTGACGCTCCCGAAACCTTGCTCAAGCTGCATTATTGTCCGCATCTCTTCATTGGCATTGGCCCGCCTCCTTTCTTCTTCCATCTGCGAGATGTCTCGCATCAGCTTCTCCCTCTGTTTGTTGAGTCATTGTCCTGCGATGTCGATGTCTGGGCGATTGTTCCCTCGTCATGGAAGCATCAATGGAAGGAAATAAACATACAGAGGCCCCATAACATCTGGCCCATGCTCCTCTTCCCCCCCCAGGACTCCCGCCGGAAATCTTCGTAACCGACCCCGTCGAAATCCAGTTTGATCTCCGCAGCTTTCCCTCCTTTGCTCGTCCTCGCCCAGCAAAAACCCGGCACGGCTGAGGCCGCACGACGCTAATAAGCTTCTGGGTCGGAATATTTGATAGAACGGACGGGTACCAATCGCCGTGGCTGCCAGCCATTAGAATTCTGCCCGAGCTTTTTTTTTTTCAGGCGACGTCATCACCATCGGCACAACCTGCCACCAACAATGGTTGCCTGGGAGCCTGCATCGACAAGCGTTGCACCACCAGGCCAGGCCAAGAGGCTATTCCGCAATCCGCCGGGTGAGATTCCTATCCCTGTCCACACAATCGGCGATGTAGTATTTCAGCCATCCAGATTTAATCCTCGTTCATGTTGGTTTTGTTGGGTCCTGCGAGCACGTAACCTTCCTGTCTCATCTATCCCACGATGTCACCCTGACCAGGAAGGAAGCATCAGCTTGGAATAAAACCAACCACTTAATATTCCTGAAGCCTGGCGATTTTGGCCTGTCGAAACAAGATTGATTCCATCCTTCAGCGTTCACTTCAATTACGCGCTCAGATGCAGCTTCGTCTCGATCGCTTTTAGGCTGCCGTTCGTGAAAACTCTCCTCCCCTTACAAATGAAACCTCTCTGCTCACTGGGGCCATAGCTTTCTTCCCGTGATGCAAATCTCCTGACCAACAATTCCCCTCTATATATGGGTAATTGCGAAGAGATGCAAGCTACGGCATAGCTGGCTCTTCATGATTCCCTCAAGAAGCTCATGACCACAATTTTCACCCAGACCAAGCCTGTGCAGATAATGACAATTCATGTATGAAACTGAACAAAATCGAGCCAGTTTTCCTCGGTGCGCGCGAGTGAGAAACGGTCACTTGCGAAGTCATCGATGCAATCGTTCAACTCCTTCGCATGGTGTGGGATACCGATTGGTGTTTGATACTCGCGAGTCAGATGACCCAAGTCGGCATGAGCCTCATCACCATCACACGTGGACCGGACATATAGCCAGATAGGACACGCTCATTAGCTGACGAAGAAACCTCTTCCCAAACCACTGTCCCGACGCTCCATCTGCTCCTGAACGCCTCTACAAAGTGGCAACAAGCCCAAAGACCCAGTAAGATTCGTGAGTGAGCGCCCCAAGGCGACTAAACCTCTGTAGAACCAGAAACTCCATCCTGCCCCCGGAGAAATCACCTGTGCCGGTTATTAGACTGCGAATCGCGCCGAGGACATGAGGGTAAAGAGCACTTACGGTGAATACCCCATCGCCGATCCGTGAAGAAATCGCATTCTTCGCCACGCAGCCTCACGCCGCAACCATTCTCACTTTGCTGCACGTCCCGCCCTCGCAAATAACCGGCCTCTCGCCCTTCATAGTCCCCATCTCCGCATACTCATCCCCCTCCTCCTCCTCGTCCCTCCGAACGACGGTGTTGCTCCGCCTGCTCTTCGCCCTCCGCCGGCGAACATACGCAGTCGTCGCGAGCGCGATGACCACGACGCCGACCCCGATGCCTATGCCAGCCTGGGCTCCCGTGCTGAGCCCGGCGGACACTTCCGCCGTGTCCATGATGCGGCGGCAAGCAACCACGGCGGTGGTGCGCGCGACGAACGATGTCTCCTTTCTTGCTCTCTATCTCCCTTCACCTGAGGTCGCGATTGAAGCAGAGAGTAGATGTCTCGTTTTCGTTATCTCGTTTCTGTGGTGGAGTTGATTGTGGGGTAAAAGAAGGGGAAAAATGGGAACTGCGCGAAAAGAGAGATACGGTTAAAGTGCGTCGTACTTGTCGCCGTATAGAGTTTCCACGAGTGTATCAAGAAATGTGTACGGATTGAGGGAAACTCTGCTGGCGGAGGACGGCGCATCCCTGCACGAAACAAACCATCTTTCTGGTAGACTCTGGCCATTTGTCGTTGGGGGAACAATGGTTTCCCCGCGTTGGCTGGAAGCACCTTCCTGTTCGGGTCGTCATGGATTGCTTGGCTTTTGAGAGGGGTTAAACTCGCCGAGGATTTAAGCTATCCGACAGTGATAGAGCCGCATCGCGATATGGACTTTACGAGTCAGCGTAGGTTCGCAATGCGAATTGCGAAAAGATAAAGTGCGAAGCTGCTTCGGATACCCCGAGGGCTTTCGTATTGCGAAGAGATTAAGGATGAAGTACTGTTACCTCCTAAGATGCCGCTTGACCAAAGTGCCACCGCTTCACAGGCAGCATCTGCGATTTTCGGGGAGCGAAAGACATATCCTTTTCTTCATTCAAGTTAGGTAAATATCTTGATACCTTATCTTTCTTCCCTTCTAACTTTTCTTCTTCGCATATGTTAATACCTTATGATTCTGAGCAAAATTGTAAATCCTAGATGCCTCGGCGCTTAGATTCCACTTTGGTAATGCCGAGATGCTCAGAGCAATGCGAATCGAGAGAGGGTTCAGTGAAATACTGCTTCAGATGTGGCACATCTCTTCTATTTTCTTCTCTTGGTAGGAAACACATAATTGGTCACTGCTGGTGGGAGATTAGATTTATTCACTTACTATCCATCTCTTAGCTAAGTGGAGCAGCAACGTCATCTCGATCGAGGGGCCTACAACACTTACTAGGTGTCTGCTCTTCTCTCCACAACAGATGTCAACATCTGGAAGGCTCACGTCTGTCCCTGTGCTGAAGTGCGGAACTTTTGATTCCAGTGCCTGCATTTCACTGCTAGATATGAGAATCCTCTTCCATTTTCCTGCAGGGCGGAGATCTCATTCGGGATTAGCTCATTTCTTGATGCTCCCCATGTTGTGCCCAACTGTGGCACACAATGGGCAACATTTGCATGATCTGGAGTGACGTGGACCAATCGTGAGTTATAATTCTACAACACGCATCAAATATTGCAGATTCAGAGGAGGAAGGTTCCACGACAGCGAACAAACATCAAGAGAGCTGTAACGGCAGCGGAAATATTTACGAGCCCACGCAATTTAGTCGAAAATAGTCCATCCGATAGGTGACCCGATACAATGAGTGGCTCTGCCAATCTTCGCTGGTAGATAGCTCCCAAACCACCAAACCTACACGAATGCTGACTTTTCTTACATTCTTATTATCGTTAGATTTGTCGCCCTTGTCTCATCCTGCACCGGTTCTCCTCCAATCACTCGTCGGTTATTCACAGATATAATAAGCCGATAAGGCTGTCAAATGTGTTGGTGCAAGCCCGCCCATTGGATGCGGTGAGATTGTCTCGGTTGATGAGAGCTGAAAGCCCCTGCATGTCGTTGGTCAAATGAATGGCTTAGAAAATGTGGAGGGGTTTCTTTCGCAGGCAGCCACCTCACATCAGGCTGCGGTCGCATGGGGCGGTGTTCCAACAATATTTCCAACAAGAGTGCTTATGTATGTCAGATTTCCTCTCTACCTTCATCTATTTGGCAACCTTGGGACCTCTACCACGCTTATCGCAGGCTCGCAGCCTTACTTACTACCTAGCACTCATCACTTATCTCCGACAAGATGTTGTTTCCCCTTATAGCTTTTGCGCTGGCTATCGACGTAGTGCAAGCTCAAAATCCGGGTAATAGCACCAACAACTGCCCCAATGTACAGGGCTTCTTCTACAAGGATGACTGTAAACTCCTATGTCAGAAGACGAAGTGGACAGATGTGGTCGTCTTTTATCTTGGCAACTACATCGCCCACGCTGCCACAATTACCACGCGACCAGGACAGAGCACCTTCGTCACTGTGATGACCATGATAGGTGCTGTCCTGCTTCCAGGCACCGGTATTTGGAATGGCATGAAGGCTATACACAGTCGTGCTAAGCTTGCACCCACCGAATTACGGACCGCAGCTCGTGCAGGCGCTTTATATGCAGTAGTTCGGGACAGCAACTCCAGCCCAGATCAGCCATCCGCGTCAGAAGACATAGCTCCGTTGCCGGCCTCTACAACAGCTCAAACTTCTCAGCACCAAGACGACCCTGAGAAACAGCCACAAGAAAGTACACCACTGCATAAGTTCGAACGCATATTGAATGGCCTGGAGTCTTGTGAGCTATAGCGCGCATGCTAAATTCAAGAGCAACGCTAATGGAATGACAGTGAGCACAGTGCTGCTGAGCACCAATATTCACGGAGTGTGTGAACTTCCCAAGGGATATTACTTAATGCAAGTCCGACGAGATGCCACTTTCAAGGGGGAACACGTGTCTAAAGACACTCGGCCATTTTACCGACGCCTGAAAGACATGATACTACGCTGTATACGGCCGCCACCCTCTGGATCGAACCCTACGTTATCCTGCAACTACAACTTGGTCGGTGCACTCGCTTCCATTATTCAGTTGATCTTTGCCGTCTCAACGCTGTACCGCACGCGTGGCGATCAAATTGAACGCTACGGTTACGCCGCTTTTGGATTGACAGTGGTACCCTATGCGTGGATGTCTTTTGTCAATCTGTTGGGTAACGCGCTATGCCCACAATATGACAAAATTTATGTCGTCAGGTCTCATGCACTACGAGAATTAGAAAAGGCTCGCGAACGTGAAAATAAGAATTCTCAGACATCAGAGCTAAGTCAGTGGAAAGTTGACGGCACTGTGGGCGTGTTACATGAGGACCATGAGACCTGGTTGTCTGAGGACCTTGACAAATGTCGCGGACAGGAGCACAGCGACAATATGGGTGCGGCAGGTATTCAGCTAGAGATACTTCGGAAACTCAGCAAAACTTTCTCGAGACTCGAAAGGGACTCAACAACGGGAGACTGGAAGTCACGGAAACCAGAGATGGCTCTCTCGTCTTTGATGCTCGCGTTGTTTAAGTGGGAGTTCCGCCGTGTCGATAACTCATTCCAGAGCACGAAAAACAATATCGACCAGCTCAGACAACTGTACAAAACTGAGTTCAAGCCCTTCGTCAACGAGCAGCGCCGGAATCCCTCGGTTCGGGCCATACTTTCCTGGTATTGGAGACTTTTTAAAAGCCTTCTGGGGTCGTCATGGTTTGTTGTCTTCGCAGTTCCTTTTACTGTCGTTGGCGGCCTGTCAGGCTTTCAACCCGGCGAAAGTGCGCTGTTCCAGCGGGTCTGGACCATGATGTGGTTGATTTTTGGGTTGGCAGTGGGACTTATCCTCGGCCAAGCCTTGAGACGATTCGGCAACAAGTCACCCAACGTACATCAGCTACCCACGGCCGCCCACGAAGATGATGCCGGCTTTGGCAGTCTGACAGACACCATTTTGGCGGCGGCGATTTATGGAGCTGTCCCTGTGGGAGGCTATGTAGTTGTTACTCAAATGCTTTTGGAATTTGGAAATTGTGTCAAGGTTGACTCATGAAGAAGTCGTCGGATAGTCACTTTTATCTAGGCTGGTAGAGTACGGTGCAATGAAGTGCGGCACACACAAATGTTTACCTCCAACTGCCGCTTGGAATTTATTCACTGCTGCTGCTTCTCAGGAGATGTTCAATCTAAATGCTAACGAGGGAACGGGCTCCGCGATGGATAAAGAGGACGTCATCACCGAAGCTTGAGCCTCGTCACACTCGGTCCCCAGTGGGGAGAGACGGGAGCTTACTAGGTATGGTCCCGTTTTACAAATGGACTCTGCCAACAGTGCACAGGGGCGGCGGAGTTGAGTTTACGGAAAAAAACGGAAGGAGCTGGCTATCAGTGAAATATCACCTCTGGAAGCATCCATTGCTGACTCCACGTGCTGCTCGAAGAAAGATTTTGAAAGAAATTGAACACAGATGACTTGCAAAAACTATAGATTTAGCGACTCATGCACCCAATCGGCCAACATGTCAGCCACAAGAAGAGAAAGGTGACGTTGGCGTTTCGGCGGAGTCGTGTCGTCGTGTCGTCGTGTCGTCGTGTCGTCGTGTCGTCGTGGTCGTTTGTGCTAGCTGAGTAGAATAGACGCGTCGCGTTGATAGGGCGGGGTGCACTAATTTACGCGCCATAACTTCGCCCCTAGTCAACGTCACTGCTCATTTTCACCTGCGAAATTCTAGTCCACCAGTCTACTCTATCTCGCTTTTTCCATCCGAATTCGAAGGAACCCTGAGAAGGACTTTTCGAGCCATTGCCGTCAAACTCAAGATGAGCCAGCTGTCGTCAACAGCACCATGCAACCACCCGGAAATTCACGCCGACCACGCGCCGGGCACGAGTCACGCATGCGCCCTCACCGAAGCAGAGCGCTGGACTGATCGAACTATGAGATTCAAGGTCGCCTCTGATGATACCCTGGACTTGCGCGACGGTATCTTGACAGACCTAAGGGACGCCCGAGAGGAAGTCTACCGCGCCGAGCTTGAGATGGAGGCCGCTCGCAAGGTCCTGGAACTGGCGGGACACCGACAAAAGCGCGCGCAGGAGAAGGTCAAACAGCTCAAGCAGCGGTATGAGATTGCAGAACGGATGGTGTGGCCAGCGAGCGAGGAATACTGGGGTGCTGCAGAGGTGATGCACGACGCGAAGCAAAACGCCGGGATGTTGGAGAAGGGACCGCGTCCGGTCATCAACTGGGAGAAGGGGAGCATCCACGAGTTTGGCGACAGGGCAC